TCTCATTTTTTCTCATTGATCTTTTACCTTCTAGTTCTGAAACTTTGGCAATTTCGAGCAATTCATTTTTGTTATATCTTTTTACTTATTTGAGGGAGGGTGATTCAAGAAAATATTGATAAGCAGACATGATCAAATCTTATTGCCACTGATAGAAATAAATTGAATTATGATTTAAGTTTTAATTTTCGAATTTTATATCCGATTCAGATCTCAGACACGAGCCCCCAATTTATTATGCTACATATTACAATTTCTAATAGCCTAAAACTGAGTTAACTTGTACTTTCGATTTAGCATTTAAGTAAACGCCGATATATAGTCAGTTTATGATATTTGCCAACAAGACTGATACACACAGTTTTCTTTTTTTTAACACAAATACGTTTTAATATACATACAACAATACAATTTACAATAACAGTTATTACAAATAATTATTACAAACAATGGTTTATGAACAAAAGTTTCACAAACTTACAAAGACGACATTTACAAAATTCGAACATTACAAACCATTTAACTTCAGTGGATTCTCATCGGACATTAGTATTTTTAAGAAAACATTATATAACTTCATCGTGGAAAACTCAGCGTGTGTGGCTGGTGAATAACAAAAAGCTAGCTAGCTCACCGTTAAGCGCATAATACTTACATCAACTCGCAACTAACTCGCTCATCGTGAACCCTCGATAAGATATTGAAGAAGTTCCAGGCTAGAAAGACGACTTTATATTGTAACTCAAAGAGTTTTTATTGACATGTCAGTAAACTTCTACATGTGCACCATTACTGGCTCTCAGCACGTCCAACTGATATTCGATTTCAGTCCATGTTTGCAGCAACATGCTTACAGTTACAGTGACGATGGTGTCCGTCATCCTGGTCTTTAGCTTTGTAGTGTTTGCTATAGATGAGCGATACACAATATCCCTAACATACCCCCATACTTCTTTCCTGTACTTACGCTGCACCACAGTCACTGACCTGGTCTTTGCAAGTCAAACGACGTATTGATCCTCCTCTTGCACGGTTGCTGTTTTACGGGGTAACACTACTCCTAGAGTGAGAAAAGAAAACAAGATAATACAAACTGTTTAAGTTGGGCTTCAAGATGTTGAAAACTACATGGTTTTATTTCCTTTGTTATTTAATTATTAAATTTTAAAATAGGAAACATAATTTTGGACCTCTCTGTGTATATTTCATGTTAGAGAAAACAGTTCTGGAGGTATCCGATTTCAGTATGCTTAAAAAATGCCATAAAGTTGTTCGATCTGATTTACGAATATATATGTGTATAAATAATGACGCTGGTAAAAAGTTGAGTTGGCATATACTGCTATGTGACTGATAGGCATTCTATAAGATGAACGTTAAGTCAACATTATTTTTATTCAAACCTTCGCGTATGAGGTTCTTTATATATAACTTGTTCTAGTGATTTACTGCTGTATGCTGACATATATTTCCATTTCAATGGATTAGTTTTAGAAGAGTTTGTTGTTATCTTATGTTTAAGTTTCTTTCAAAATACTAGATTGCACAAGTATGTATGATGTATTATCAACCCTGCCATGGATTTAAATATAATTTTATTTTTGACACAATTCAGTCTTTCTTAACATTTTTTAAATGATTATAGGTCATTTTATAAAATCATCTAATCCCACAGTTTTTAACGGAATTGCATAAAATATAATAAAAATTATTATCGGGTTGTGAAACAAATAAATATGTATACATATGCTTCTCTCAAACGACAATAAAGGTATCCCATTTTTTACAGCTGCATCAGTCCTCCAGAATTTAAACGTTATTCAGTAAAGTATGTAAAGGAATGCAGGTGATTTTTACCAAGAGTAAATACAGCTTTGAGTGCGAACCTTTTTAAGGTATATTGAATAAATTTGGTATATTTTGCTTGTTGTCGAAGATTTAGGTATTGAATTGTAGTTGTTTAGTGTTACCACTCATTTCTTAGCTTCTTTTGTATTAAAAATCTTTATCAGTCTGGAAATCGGGCACTTTATGATGTCAGTCAACTTTGAAGCTATAAAGTTATAATTTCCAGATACAACTATTCCAAATCGGTTATGTTACAATGTTTACGACTCACGGCTTATTCGGTGCTATAAAATATGTTAAACATTAAAAAACTTTGTTGACAGAGCTCGTAAACAGATTCGCATTTTTAACAAACGAGATTCCTCCTGTGGCGTTGTAAACATAAAAAAATTAATCAATCATTAAAATGTTGGTATTTAGGGGCTTGAAAGTTTTTTTTTTTGGGGGGGGGGACTTGTTTAAAGTATTATCGAACTGTTTCAGTGTATTGACCGCCATTAGTTTTACCTTCCGTTTGTTTCAGCTCTTGATATATGTATAAGTTAATACTAGATGTGCTTGCGCAGGATCCCCAAAAGTGTTCTGTTTCCAAAGTAAATAAAACCAAAATTAAGAGTAACAAATATGTATATTTATTGCTTTTGAAGCTCATATGTCATGCTGTGTTGTAGCCTAAAGACTACATAATTCTTATCGTGATTCATAGCATGCACACGTTTTGCTGACGTCACGGCAATACAAATTGCAACGTCCCTTATATGACGTCATTTTAGTGTCCACTGACTGACTGACAGACAAACAACACGCTACTGTACAGTGGTGCAAGTAATTAAAACAGGTGACCCTCCAGGTAGCCTTCGCCCCCCCCCATAACAGTTCCATTACGTCGTTAGTTAAATTATATCAGATTTTGCTAATTACTTTACTTACAATGTTTACTATTGTTGTAACTTCCCTTTCTAAGTAATATTATTATTGAACTTTCTCAAATTTTATCACATTTGCTTTTGGGTTGCTACAGAAGATTTACCTTTATTTATTACTTCCTATTGACCACTTTACAGAGTTTAATTAAAGTCGGATTAGTTATGTCAGAGACACCTTATATTATGTTTAATATATCTTCTATTTATTACATTTAACATTGTTATATGCTAATTAGATGACAAATATTTTAGAGATTTACTCTGCAATTCAGATATTCTTTTAATTTCTTACTTAATATTCTGTATCTTCATAAACATTTGTTTTTGGCCGTACTATTGGTATTGTTCTACTACTTGACTCCACATCTAAAAAGTAATATGTGACGTAGTATTTTATCTTGCTGTCAGACTCTTGTAAAGTTACACTGTCGGAGCCGTTTCGTGGGTTTTCATTGGTCACAAGTACTTTTTTTTAGAGAGAATTGTGCGAAGTTATGCAAAAACTCGCGGCCGTACTGATGCAATGGTTTGTTTGTTATGGTTTTGTTATTTAAATTTTCGCGACAAA